TCTGCCTCAGCCTTCCAAGTAGCTGGAACTACAGGCGCGCACTACCACACCCGGCTAATTTTTGATTTATTATAGCGATGAGGTCTCGCCAAGTTGCCCAGGCGGGTCTCGAACCCGCGGGCTCAGGCAGTCCAGTCACCTCAGCTTCCCAAAGGCGTGGGATTACAGGCTGAGCCACCGAGCCCGGCTAAGAAAGATTTTTTTAATAGAGCTCACTTAGAATCAGTCATGAGCTTTCTGTCCCTAAAGGTGATTAGCAGAGGAGTCAGGACGTCACTGGCAGAGTGTGTTGCCCAAGGTTTTCAGAAAGCATCAGAGGGGAGGTGGATCAAGAGCTCTGAGATCTGTGACTGTGACTATTTTCTGCTAGATTATGAGCTTCTGGTGGACAGGAACCCTGTCCCTTTGATCTGTGTCTTCTGTGCCCGGTAGATACCTGGGTGAGTGAATGGAACATCATTACAGTCTGACACGCTAGAATGTAGGTAGGGACAAAGAGGAGGGAGCATGCCCCTGCACTGGGCACTGTGGGAAACCCCAGGTGAGTGAGATGTACATGATCCAGGGGGCACATGATCCAGGGGGCAAGGTGAGTCTGTAGATATCTGTATTAGTAGGTTCAGGGAGTTAGACTTTGTAGGACAGATAGGGGTAGTGCAGGCCCCCCTCCCCCTTGAGAAGATCCTAGAAAGCTTCATAGAGAAGGGGATTAAGGATTAGACCTTGATGGACAGAGACTGCCAAGAGGGAGACACTCCACGAATCGGAGGGAAAGGCATGGTAGTGGGAGTGCAAGTCCAGTTTGCTGGACGCTGACTGGGCAGCAGAGCGCAGTAGCTTGAAAACCAGCCCAAGGGGCCAGGCTTGGTGGCTCAAACCTGTAATCCCAGCACTTTGGGAGGCCGATGCGAGAGGATTGCCTGAGCCCAGGGGTTTGAGACCAGCCCAGGCAACTTGGTGAGACTTCGTCTCTACAGTAAATCAAAAAACTAGCTGGGCATGGTAGCATGTGCCTGTAGTTCCGGCTACTTGGAAGGCCGAGGCGGAAGGATTGCCTGAGCCCAGCAGGTCGACGCTGGGGTGGTTGTGAGTATGCCACTGCACTCCAGCCTGGATGATAGAGTGAGACTCTGACTGAAAAAAAAAAAAAGAAACCAGTCCAAGTCACTCTGCTTTATCTAGGCGATCTGGACTCCTCAGACATTTCTACCGGAGTACTTGATGTCTTGAGTGTGGAACTCACCCAAAGCCGCTGACGGGAGCCATTTCTCTACAGTCTCATTTTATCTCGAAGACTCAAGTATCTACTTCATAATGACAAACATTTGTTGTAATATAAACATTTTTCTTTTGCTGAATATTAGAGAACAACAGCTCCAGGAAGATGTGCTGTCTGTGGCCTGTGGCTTTAACTCCTCCTTGGTACGAGCCAGTTTGAGAGGCAAGACAGCAAGTCATAGTATTTTATTGTTTATAAAATTCTTCCACATATATTCAGTGAGTACATCCTTTTGTATAAATGTGCATTTGTAAATAAGTTCTGGAAAGTTCTGTGACTTACATGGAGGTATCACGTTATGGCAGTTTTTCTGGGACTGTGATTCGTATTAAGGGAGCCGTTGTATATAAACTTCCAGTAACGTTAGACAGTTGAAGTTTTTATTTTCCCAAGAGTACACAGTGACCTTCTTTAGGAAAAATGGCATTTGATTTTTTTTTTCTAGCATGGATGTTTTTGCATCTTCTGTGTGTGTGCATGGGTGTGGGGGGTTGTCTGTGTGTCTGCCTTTTTGTCCCTATTCATGTGTGTGGGGCGGGGAGGGGATTACATAGGGTATAATAGGAGGAAAAAAGAAGGGACTGAGGGAGAGTGACCTGAACCTGTGTCTTCTTATCTCCCCTCTGGCATCTCCTTTGTGGTTTTTTATTTTTAATTTTTTTAAGAGTTGTGGCATACAAGGGAGGGTTTGCAACTTAAGAAGGTTGCATGCAGGTGAAGTTGGGACCTCTAGCTGGCTCTCTTCCCTCTGGTGGTGGACCAGGTACTCAGGGTGATGCCACATGCCCCCCTCCTCCCTGCTTCCCTCCCCTGCCCGTGCCTGTGATTGCCGGTCCCACCCTTGTACTCCTGTGACTAGTGTTCAGGCTTTGTGGGTTTTTATTTTTATTTTTAATCATCTGTGAAAGATGACTGACTGATCCAGTACATTATCTGATAAGTGATCTTGGGAGTTGAGTGAGCAAAAGTGTTAAACCATTGCTTGAGTGAGACCACAGGACGTGCACTGGGGAGACGAGGGCTGTGGGTGCTGAACTGGCTCAGAGCTCTGTGGAGCCTTGGACAAATCTAGGGCATTGTGCTCAGGATCTGGAAAGAAGAACAGGGCCAGAGGATCTGTCATGAGTGTTGCTGAAATCTGAGTAACAGGACAGTGTTCTTTAGAAGGTATTGTTATTAGAACAAGGGCCTGCTCATATTCTTGGAGATGCAGCTGTTTGATATGACAAAGGGTCATGATGGGAAAGCTTGCTGATGGCTGGGGACCCATACCTCAGACCTGGGATCCTCCCATGGTCCTGACTGTGGGATCAAGTTCCATGGGGTGACTAATTCCCATGAAAGCTGATTCTGCAAGCCTAAAAGTAGAAGGTGAAAATGGGAACGTCGTTGTGTGCCAGCACCATGAATGTATAGAATGCCAGACTGATAAGAGGGGGACCCAAAAAAACCCAGAATTGTCTTTTGGAGGGCGAAATCCTTGTAGTACAGGCTTCCTCCACTAGGTAAGTGTTGTAGGAACCCATTGGCATCAGTGTACCAGCTAGCATTGTTGTGAGAGGCTGCATTCGGCATCAGTGAACTTTTCTGGGGAGATTCTTCCAATGCATTTGCCCATTTCATGATGGGTGATTTACGAGTGCACTGGACTACACCGTGCTGGAGTTTTCAGCAGTTTTTTGACCAAAAGCAGCATGGCACCCATGCCCCATCCTCCCTATTCACCCAACTTCACCCCATGTGACTTAATTTTTTGTTTCCCTGGATGAGAAAAGTCCTCATAGGGAAATGTTTTGCTGATGTGGAAGAGGTGAAACAAAAAATAGCAGAAGCCGTAGAAGGCATCAACGTGGATGGGTTCAAAAACTGTTTTGAGCAGTGGAAAGCGTGTCTCCGTAGGCGTATTGCATCAAACGGAGAGTACTTTGAAGGGGACTGAAGTTTAAACACGTAAGAATACACAATTTTTTATGAATATAAATTGGATTTTTTTGGGTCCCCCCCCACATAAGGTAGGCGAACCCTCATTTGATGGATGAGGAAACTGAGAAGAGCTCACTGACCACAGCTAGACTACTAGTATGGACCAGAGTCAGGGCTGGCACTGAGATCTTAACATTTGGATTTGGCCTGTGGGCCAATGTTGTCACTGCTTAGAGCTGTAGCATCCTGGCTCTTCTAAAAACATACAGATTCTTTACTTACTGCCTGTATGACTCTGGACAACTTTCTGTCTGAATCTTAGTTTTTTCATCTATAAAGTGGGGAGTATATTACCTTAAGGCAGTTGTGACCCAGAAGATCATGGAGGAGGCCCACATGTCAAGATGAGAATCCGGAAGGGGTTTGTAACTGGGGGCTGTTCACACACATCTTCAGAACATTTGTTGGGCAGTGTGCTTGGCAGGCTGTGGGGTTGGCCATGGTCCAAGAAGGCTTCCCAGAGGGGGTGATATTCTTCAAGCTGCCCACTAACCTGCCTGCTTGTTCCCTCCTCAGGACCTCCATGTTCCCAACGAGGACCGCATCAAGCAGCTGCTGGGGCAGGACGCCTGGACCTCGCAGAAGAGCGAGCTGGCTGGTTTCTACCCCCGGCTCATGGCCAAGTCAGACACGGGCAAGATTGGCTTAATCAACCTGGGCAACACATGCTACGTGAACAGCATCCTGCAGGCCTTGTTCATGGCCTCTGAGTAGGTGCTGCTTTCAGGGCCCCTCTGTGTCCTTCTCTCCCTTGGCTCCCAGGTGGAGGGGCTGGGGAAGTGGGTGGGAGAGGGCAGACCTTGCTTTGTGCTGCTGGCATGATTCCCTGAGGTCTGTGGGTGCAGAGGGCCTCAGGCTATTGCCAAGGCAGGAGGTCGAGACTGGACGGGAACTCAAGTGGGGCTTCAGGGGTTGGGCTTCTGGGAGAATGGGATTAGCTGACATCACTGACTTTTCTCCTAGAGCTCATGGGGTCAGGGGCGGGCTGTATCTTCCAGAGTAGAGCTCCCAGTCACTCTGGTATTAGATATCTCTTTTTTAAAATGAAGCAAACACAAACCTTTATTGTCTGGCTACCTAACTACTTTACGACTTGCTTAAAAATCACTCAAAACCTCAGCTTTGATTCAGCGGAAATCAGCTGATTCTGGCTTGTAGCCTGACTTCAGGTTCATGACCTCGGGCCTTGTAGCATGAACCTGAGATTCAGGTTCAGTGGGAGGAGGTGGTTGGAGCTGATCTCCAAGACTTCCTAAGGTGCTGTTTCTTGTTCTTCTCAAAATGCCTGGTAAAGGACTAGTTTTGTCTTCCTAATTACCTATTTTTCCTAATTTTCCTAATTTGCAGTCTGTGGCAGACTCTTCCTTTGGTAAACTCCAACAAACCGATTTACTAGGAAAATGATCCTGTGCCTGTATGGTCACAGTAGTGTTGAAATGTTTCTGAATGCTCACTCAGTCTTGAACGCACCTTGTCTTAGACCAGCTAAGGGGCCACACTTTGAGCAGGGCAGTTCCATGCAGTAGGCTCGGTTTGGAGAACAGCGTGGCTGATCTGCCTGTGAGGACGGGAGCTAAGCTGGGGCCTGGGCCTTGGCTTGTTCCAGGAAATGTGTGTGGCAGGAGGGCTCCTACCCATCTCCCGTCAGATCAGACCCCTGTCACTAGGAGCCAGTCCCCTCCACAACGTCCTCTGCTTTCTGTGTATTCCTCACATCGACACCTGCTGCCTCATTTGAAGGGAGGTGGCCCTGGGGGGCAGAGGCTGGGGTCCTGACAGGGACTGCTGGTGGAGATGTGAGGGCCTTGGAGGGGCGTGAACACCTTTCCTGGGGAGGCAGGGAGAACGGTGTGAGTGGCTGATGTGGCTGAGATGGGGTTGGCACAGCCTCTGTGGCATGCAAGAAAGTCCCAGCCCTAGAACCCTGGGACCACAGGCCCTTTGGACATTTGAATCTTTGAATCTTGGGGTTAGGAGGGGTCAGAGCTGGGAGGGACTGCAGGGCCACTTTGCTGTACTATTTACTGTCCAAAACCTGGCTGTTGCTGTGCTCCTGACTTCAGACATCACGGTGCTGTGCGCCGGCTCCTCCTCCCTGGCCTCTGGCCTCAACTTGGGGTAGAAATGTCCTTCTGGCTTTGGCCTGGAGGCCCTGGGTGGCATAGGGGATGGGTGAGTAGAGGCTGCATGGGTGCCCATGGCTCACCCTGGGTGCTCCTGCCTCTGTTGAAGCTTCAGACACTGTGTGCTCCGCCTGACTGAAAACAACTCGCAGCCCTTGATGACCAAGCTGCAGTGGCTCTTTGCCTTCCTGGAGCACAGCCAGGTGAGTGCAGGGGTGGAGAGGAGGTGCCAGTCAGGCCCCTGCACCAACACCCTTTCCTTCCCCCGGACCTGCCTGCATCTAGCTATAATCTTCCACTTCACGGAGCCAGCTGCTGAGCCCCCGTCCGGGCTGGCACAAGTTCATGACCAATGCTTATGGGGCCAATAGTGCCCCTGCTGGGCAGGAGAGGAAGTGCTGCTTGAGCCCTGCTCTGCTGTGCTGCCCAAATCTGTCCCTTCAGCGACGCAGTCTGTTACATTAAGGGAGTGCATCTTGGTCCATTTCATGCTGCTACAACAATACCTGGGAATGGGCACTTTTTGTTTTTGAGTCGGAGTCTCACTCTGTCGCCCAGGCTGGAGTGCAGTGGCACACTCACGGCCACTGCAGCCTCAACCTGCTGGCCTCAGGCGATACCTCTGCCTCAGCCTCCCAAGTAGCTGGAACTACGGGTGGTGCTACCATGCCCAGCTAATTTTTTGATTTATTGAGCATGCTAGAGACAAGGTCTTGCCAAGTTGCCCAGGCTGGTCTCAAACCCTTGGCTCAGGCAATCCTTTGGCCTCCGCCTCCCAAAGTGCTGAGTTACAGGCATGAACCACTGCACCCAGCGAGACTGGGCACTTTATACAGAGATTTATTTCTCGTAGTTCTAGAGGCTGGGAGGCCCAAGGTCAAGGAACCACATCTAGTGAGGGCCTTCTTGCTGATCATAACATGTCAAGAGCATCACATGGCAAGAGAGGACACATTAGAGAGAGAAAAGGGGGCCGAACTCATCCTTTTATCAGGAACCTACCCTGTACTAACAAGCTTGCTCCTGTGATGTGGCTTTCATGCAGTCACAAGGGCCGCTCTTGTTTTTTTTTTGAGTTGGAGTCTCACTCTGTCACCCAGACTGGAGTGCAGTGGCTGCTC